GGTGGAGACATGGGGGGTGGGGGGCACAGGGGGACAGGACACTGGAGTGCCAGAGACGGAGGGATGGGGACGTAGTGCGGATGGGGACGTGGGGCTGTCAGGTAACGGGGTGTCCGGGCCATAGGGGAGTCAGGGATGGAGACGTGGGGGTGTCAGAGCTGGAAGGGACAGGGAGATGGAGGGGACTGGGATGGGAACACAAGGCTGTCAGACCTGGGGGGGGATGGGGACATGGGGAAAGAGGGACAAGGCGGGATGGGGGGACATGGGGATGGAGACATGGGGGTGCCAGAGCTTGGGGGACAGGGACATGAGGGTGTCAGAGCTGGAGGGAGGGGGGCATGAGGTGATGAGGATGGGGTAACAGGGACATGGGGGTGTAAGAGGTGGGGGAATGGGGACACAGAGGGGGATGGGGACATGGGGGTGTTGGACCTGGAGGGGACAAGGACTGGGGATTGGGCATATGGTGGTGCTGGCACTGGGAGGCGGGGGACAGTGGGCATGGGGGTCCGTGGATGTCTGAGCTGGGGCAGGGGGCCCTATGGGAGAGAGAACATGGGGACAGCGATAGAGAGGAAGGGACATAGGGGTCACAGAGCAGAGAGGGGGATATGGAGGTGGGGGGCCGGGGGCATGGGGACGGCGGGGTCAAGGACAGCAAGGACAAGGGTGGTGGGATGGGGATAGGGACAAGGCTAGGGACACGGGGACAGGGAGGGGACAGGGGAGGACGGGGACAGGGCTGATGCCAATGCAGGTACCCACACGCCCGGGAGCTGCCGACGCTGATCCGGGTGAGCATCGAGAGTGGACGCATGACCCACCACCACCCCACCGGTGGGTGCCAGGCAGGGGGGGACAGGGGAGGAGGGGACACTGAAGCCCCCCCTGAAATCCCTGTCCCCACAGGGTACCTCGGAGCACTAGCGGTGGCCCTCTTTGGGGCGCTGGGGGCTCGGGGGGAGCCCCCAGAGCGCTGGGGGGCCGAGCTGCTGCGGGTCCTGCCCCTCGCATGGGACTACGTGGAGGGTGCTGGGGTTGCCGTGGGGGACAACGCTGCCGCCTGGCCCTTCTTTGGGGATGCCTGGCACCGGTGAGGGGGTACTGGGAGGGTTCTGTAGGGTCACTGGGAGCACTGGGAGTGGCTGGTGAGGATACTGGGAGGGGCTCAGGGGCTCACTGGTGTCACTAGTGCCTGCAAGGCTCTCTCCCAGTCCTGGAGGCGCACCGCACTGGTGCCACTGGTGTCGCTGCTCTGCCCCAGTGCCTGGATGTCCCCAGTGTCCCTTGCCCCACTGTCACTGGTGTCACTGCTGACCCTGGTGGCCACTCTGTCTGCAGGGCCACCGGTGCGCATCCCGTCCCTGCTGCTCCCAGTGTCCCCAGTGTCCCAACCGGTGCTGCTGTCCTCAGCCATGGGAATGTGGCCCAGGGCCACCCCACACCCCCACTGACCTCGGTGTCCCTGGTGCTCTTGGTTTCCCTGGTATTACTGGTGTCCCCGCTGCATCCACTGCCACGGTGCCCCTGGGTGTCCTGATTGTCCCCAGTGTCCCCACAGGTACCTGCTGTCACAGGGGCTGCATGAAAGCCACAGCCCAGTGACCCCCAGCGCCACTGATTACCCCATTGTCACCGGTGACACCAATGACCTCAATTTCCCCAATGACACCAACGTCCCTGCTGACCCCAATATCCCCGTGTTCCTGGAGACCCCACAATCCCCAGTGACCCCAGTGTCCGCGTGTCCTCAATGACTCCAGTGTTCCCAGTGACCTCAGTGTCCCGTGTCCCTGCAGGTACCTGGAATCCCGGGGGCTTCTGGAGGGTCATGGCCCACCACAGGTGCCGTCCCTTCCGTCACCAGCCGAGCGGGATGCTGCGTACCTGGGCTGGGCGCTGGAGGGGTGGCCAGGGCGCAGCGGCCATGACGCACCCATGGTGGCCCTGGAGGCCCTGCTGGCAGCCGGTGGGTGCTGGGGGGACCTGTGTGCCAGGGCGGTGCTGCATGGTGGGGACAGCGATTCGACGGGGACCATCGCCGCTGGGTGCTGGGGGCTGCGGGGGGGGCTGGCGCCCATCCCCCCTGGGCTGCACTGCTGCCTTGAGTACCGTGGGCGGCTGCGCGATGCTGCCCACCGCCTCCACGCGCTGGCCTGGGGGAAACGCTGAGCCCCCCTGTGTCCCTGGTGTCACCTGCTGTCCCCCTCCCAGGAAAGCCCCTGTGGGTCCCCAGGGTGCAGCAGAGACCTTCACGGGATCCTGGAGCAGCTTGGGAGGGTCTCTGGGGGTCAGCAGGGCCCTTCGTGGGGTGCTGGGGAGCTCAGGAGGGTCCCTGGGGGTCAGCTGGGACCTTCGCGGGGTCTTGGGGGGGCTTGGGAGAGTCCCTGGGGGTCAGCTGGGACCTTCACGGGGTCCTGGGGTGCTCGGGAGGGCCCCTGGGAGACCCTGGGGGGAAGCGGGGCCCTTCAAGGGGTGCTGGGGGCCTCAGGCAAGCCCCACAGAGACCACCATAGCCACATCCAGGTGGCCTTTTATCCCTCCACAGTTAGACACCCCAGAACTTCCCTGAGGAGCCTCAGTCACCCCCACAGTAAAAAAGTGTCCTCCCAGGTCGCTCTGTGTCTAGGTTTGTGCCCTGCGCCTCTTGTCCTGTCACTGCCATTGCTGAGATCCCACCCGGGGAGGACCCCCTACAGCCAAATCTTCTCCAGGCTGAACCGTTCTGGCTCACAGAGCCCCTCCAAGAGGCTCCCGGCCATGGAGCATCTCAGCGGCCCTTTACTGGACTCTCTCACAGTCACTCCGTCTCTCTTGTACCAGTAGCCCAGGACTTGGACCCAGCGTTCAAAGGGTGGGCTTGTCAGTGCTGAATGGAGAGGAAGAAGCACACAACCATACTGCCACAGCCCTCCGAGGGCCACCCAGGATGGTGATGGCCGCCATCACATGTTGCTACTTACGGTGACCTTAGCAGGAACCACAGCCCAAGGTCCTTCAAGGCAAAAAGTGATGGGCCCCCCACTGATGGGCCCCCTGGGTTAACCACTCCAAGGGTGATGGGCCCCCCACTGATGGGCCCCCTGGGTTAACCACTCCAAGGGTTATGTGCCCCAGTGTTAACCACTTCAAAGGGTGGTTGTCCCCCGGGATGTTGGCCCTGGGGGTTAACCACCTTGAGCGTGATGGGCCCAAGGGGTGGTGGGTCCCCAGGGTTAACCCCCCCAAGGCTGATGGGCCAAAGATGGGATGGGCCCCCAGGGTTAACCACTCCAAGGGTGATGAGCCCCCGGGGTTGGTGGGCGTTGACAACCCAAAGGGTAATAGGCCCGAGAGGTGATTGGGAAGCAAGTTGCACCACCCCTCGGGCGATAGGCCCCCATGATGGTGGGCCTCCAGGGTTAAACACCCTGTGTGTGCTGTGCCCCAAAGTAAACCACCCCAAGGGTGAGGAGTGCCCTGGCTGATGGGCCCCAAGAGTTAACCACCCCAAGGGTGATGGGCCCAAGGGATGATGGGTTCCCAGGGTTAACCACTCCAAGGGGTGATGGCCACCTGGCGTTTACCATCTTAAGGGTGATGAGGCCATCATCACATGAGAGGTGATGGGAACTCGGGGGTTAACTAGGCCAACGGTGATGGGTCCATGCATTGGTGGGTCCCCAAGATTAACGACAACAAGGATGATGGACCCCCAGGGTTAACCACCGCAAGGGTGATGGTCACAAGTGTTAACCACCCACAGGATAATGGGCCGTAGGGGTGATAAGCCCTCAGTGTTAATCAGCCCATGGGTGATGGGCCACTGAGATGATGGGCCTACAGGGTTAACCGTGCCAAAAATGATAGGCCAAAATGGTGTTGGGTCCCCAGGGTTAACAACCCCAAGGGTGAGATCCCCTGAGGTGAACCATACCAAGGGTGATGGACCCCAGGGCACTGGGACCCCAGGGATAACAACCTAAAAGGTGATTAGCCCAAGGGTTGGTGGGCCCCAATGGTTAGCCACCTCAAGGGTAATGGGCCTAAGAGGCGATGGGAATCCAGGTTTCGCCACCCCAAGTGCAATGAG